CAGAAGACTACCGAGCACCACCATCTGTCCTCCTCACAATGACCACCGGAATACCGGCTTCTGCTCCTCTGTACCAAACGAAAACCATCATCGCCTTTTGCCCTAATACCCTATAATCGTGATTTTGTCGCTTCTTAAATTAGTTAACTAAGGATGTTGAAAAATCATTGCCTATTTCTCATGATGTCTAAATATTAGAACAATAGAAAACACTCCATAAATCTTCCAGATACTATTTTGCTTTATATATATTACAATTGCTTGATGACCAATGAATTGCATTTTAGGGATTTGCATATGATGTTTGATCTCCTACGAGAAGAGGCAAATTTCGTAAACTTTAACTTCGCCTAAACTAAAACTGATTCTGATTTAAGAAATTATCAAAGAATATATGTGAAATGGAGATGTCACTCTTGTATGTTTCAGCATGTCATATCTGCTTCCAATCTAGTGTATTCCCCAAACAGTTAAATGTTGATTTGTTTAAGTTTCATCACATTATCTAGCATAATCAACCTAATTAACTTTGTGTTTCCATTTTGCAGGTGATTATACCTATTGGAGATATACATGAGGTATGTAGTAACTGACTCTCTACTTTTATTTCCCCTTATATATATATGGGTAATTTTCACAAAAAACACTCTTTTTACACAGAAATTCGATTTTGACACCGTGTTTTTTTTGTATCAATTTTAACACTATGTTTTCTAATTTGTTACAATTCTGACCACTTGACCGTTGCATGCTGACGTGGCAAGATGACGTGTCAGTTTTGATGATGTGGCATGCTGACATGATATGCTGACGTGTCAAAATTGAATTTTTTTTCCACAAAAAACACTAAGTTTTCACTTTTTTTTTTCGATTTTGACACTAAGTTTAATTTTTTATTTCAATTTTGACACTATGTGTTTTTTATTCCAATCGAACATCATTTATCAAATTTTGTTCAATTTTGTCTATTTTCCATTTGAAACCGTATAAATACATTTTTTAATTACATTTTAAACCGTATAAACATATTTTTTTCGTTTAAAATCCACATTTTTATTTAAATACAATGTGTTTTTTTTCTTACATTCAAAACATTAGTTATATCATGAGAATCAAACTAACCATAAGCTTCTAATAAGATCTAAACATTTGATGGGTTGCAAACTTGATATCCGAGTTTTGATCGACTACACACCTCCAAACCTCCAAACACATTTTAAAGTTGCATATTTAATATAAAATACAATTTTTATATAACTAATACATATTTATACATAAAAATATGGTTTGAGTGTAAAAAAAATGTATTTATACAAAACTATGGTTTTTAAATAAAAACAAAACATATTTATACGGTTTAAATGTATTAAAAAATCTTTATACGGTTTCAAATTAGAAAATTGTCAACATTGAACAAAATTGGAAAAAATGATATTCGATTTGGAAAAAAAAACATAGTGTCAAAGTTGAATGAAAAAATTAAACTTAGTGTCAAAATGGAAAAAAAATGAAAACTTAGTGTTTTTTGTGAGAAAAAAAATTCAATTTTGACACGTCAGCATATAATGTTAGCATGCCACGTCAGCATGCAACGGTCAAGTGGTCAGAATTGTAACAAATTGAAAATCACAGTGTCAAAATTGACAAAAAAAAAAAAACACCGTATCAAAATCGAATTTCTGTGTAAAAAGAGTGTTTTTTGTGTCATTTACCCCTTATTATATAGTTTATCTGTAACTCTATTTTTGAAGTAAATCAAAGTAATTAACATAGTGTTAGTTGTTGAGTTGATCATCGTTTCTTGAAGTGCTACTATTGAGAAATTTCAGCCTTTCTTTCTAGTTCTGTAGTGACAGCTCTCTGTTAATTTGTAATTGCATCTAATGTGTTTGATGTATTGCCTCAATGACATTCTTTTTTTTTTTTTTTTTTTTTTTTTTTGACTTACATTGCCCTTTTGTTCCTTACCTTTTTCTCCTTATTTCTTTATTGATAATTCTTTTCTATTAATGTGTACGAAATATTGCTATTTTTTTTTTTTTGCATCAAAACCTCTTTTTTATGCTGTCTAGTTTTTAGCTTTATTAATCATCTAATAATAAATGCGAGTGCCTGTTTACAGCGAGAGACTGAAGTATTGGAGAAATGTTGTTCCCCTGAAATCCTTCAACAGTGTAAGCAGAGCACAGGGTTGGTTAGATACAGAGCACCTTTTATGATAAAAAATTTGTTTGGTTTTACTTATTTAAATGCACATGAGCTACTGCAAACATTATTGTTTATCTTCGACTGCAAAAAAATTGTAAAAATTTTATAACATATAAACTAGGGAAAATATGTAAATGTTTATGAATTAATGACGGTAGAACATATATGGATGTATTCTTTTGAGTTGATGAAGAAAGAATGATTTAATAGATAAAGCAGGGAAGAGGATGCTTTCCCCATTAAATCCTTTTACAGATTTGCCCTCTTATATTTTTCTCCATTTTCTCAAATACTTTTAGACATCCTTTTAAGCTTCTTTAGTTTACACCTATTAGATTATATATAATTGCATTTATATATAAGAGGGTTTAGAGTGTAAATGTGTATTTGTATATATACTTTTGTAATTGTGACTTATTATTGACATAATACCACTACAAGAAAATTTCAATTTAGCTACAGAAGAATGCTGTAGCAAAAAGCTAAAATTTCGTAGTTAAAGCTAAATAACTTCGAAATTTGTTACAAAATTTTCAATCAAACTCCGTAACTATATTTCTTGTAGCAAAATGTTTAGCTACGGAATTATAATTTCGTGACAATTGTGCTATGACAATTTCTACGACATCTATTTCGTTGCAATTTATGTTCCATAGCATTTTCGTAACAAATTCCATAACAATTTTTCCATAGCAAAATTCATAGCAATTTTTCCGTAACTAATTCCGTAACAATGCTTCCGTAGCAAATTCCATAGCGGTCTTTGCTTAGCAAACTCCATATCGATTTTTCCGTAGCAAATTGCACAGTGATTTTTCTGTAGTAAATTCCATAGCCATTATAGAAATTTTCCGTAACTAATTTCGTAGCGATTTTTCCATAGCCAATTCCATAGCAATTTTTCGTAGCATTTGTTACATACCATTATTCAATAAAATTCAATTATTCAATTTGACTATTTATATCAATTTATAAAAACACAACTAATCTAAAACCACAAGTAATAGTATTTCTATAGAAACTTAAAGAAATATCCAATACATCAAAAGATACATATTTCAAAATCAAAGTTTCTACAAATTAAACATAAAACGCTATCAATATATAATATTCTATCATTGATTAAAAAAAATTGACATCTTCACTCAAAGTGTTAATCACAATCATTGCTTGTGCAAGTTGTTAAAACTTTGCTTGAGCATCCACATTAATATGTTGAAACTTCGCATTATTTTCTTGAGCATCTTCATATTTTTTATTGAACATCCTCATATTGTTCGCACTGAGTCTCCACATTTCGGTTTTCAACAACTCAATAAGCCCTTGGATTGCACTGCATGTTATCTGTGGATTCCCTTTCTCAAAATAATATAGATAGTTGGAATTGGAATCCAATATTTATTATCTATTATTAGTGTCCTATATTATATACCTTTCCTAAATATCAACCTACTTCTATATAAAGAAATGAAAGTACGTTGCTATTAATTGAAGGCTTTAGTGAAAAGTGTACTACTACTTACTTCTTGAGTATTTCAAAAAAGAGAGTAACAGGGCTACTGCTACCATGTGCAACATTTGCCATTTGTTGTGCAACATTTGCGATTTTTTTAACACGTTTAAGGAAAAGGAGAACCCTGGAATCGGAATGGAATCAAGATTGTGTCAGTTCCAACAAAAGAAGAATGGAATAGAGAAAACAAGATGGATGGGAATGGGAATACCTTTCTCCATCCCGATAATCCACCCAAAAGAGATTTAAACATGCATACACCGCTCTACACTGATCCAACTTTTTCGAAAGTATAGGAGAATACTAAACATTAAAGAAAAAAAAGCATTTTTAGTTAAATATTTGTGGAAAGAAGGAAAATACAATTAGGAAATGTACCACTCCTGGTTGATGCCTATTAGGAGCATGAACATCGAGTTTATAATTATGTTATGGAATTAGTGCAGATTTATTTGATGGAGTGGCTTCCAAGTTCCTTTAATAAGAGTATAAATGTTAGTAAATTGAATAAGTAATAATCTATAAATAAACAATAAATGGTTTACAAGATATAAACTTCAAAATTACTACCTCATTCTTTCTACTCCAGCGATGCGCACCAGTTCGCCCCAGCAAAAGCACAAATTGCAAAATGGCGTAAATCAATAGCTATATATATATATATATATATATATATATATTATATATATATATATATATATATAAAATTTGATTTGAAAAACACTAGAAACAAAAAGTTAATAAAGAAATAAAACTTCAAAATTTGTTACTTCTTTTTCGCTTCCGCTTCTTTGATGCTTATCTGCACTTTCCTCAGCCATTTTAATTTCTTCAAATGGATCAAGGTGCATCTAAAATAGTGTAGAAATCAATGATTATTCAATTCTTATACAATGTTATAAGTAATATTAATGAATATATAAAAACAGAAGAGTTGAAGAGACATACATGTGGCCGCATTTCCTTCATTCCTCCAACAATACATGTCCAACATCTCCATGTTTTAATGTATAATTACTTACATAAATTGACATTCTCTATGGTGAGCATTGTGTGGGAAATCCTCCTAAAAACTAGAATGTAATTAAAGTTGACCATAAAACTAAGATTTATGCAAATTTTATAAAAAAACTGACCTGAACATTTGTTTCCCATAGCTTTTGGAAGTTATGATAAAGAACATTATAGACCAACCTGATGTCACAACAACCAAGACTTGGTTTTATACATGACCGCATTTGAAAGTTCAGTCAACTACCCCTGTTCCCATGGCTACTCATATCCGCCCAAAGCAACAGATTTTATCAGGTAACAAGATTACTTCTGCAAGAACATGAGCCTCACTAAATCCTTCATCCACACGCCTAGTGAGGTTCTAAAACCTAATCAATATGAAAAAAATCAAGTACAAGAAGACAAAGAACATATTCATAACTCCAACCAAATAAAGGTGGTTATAAATATAACTAAAAACATAGTAGTGTAGTAGTACCCTTTGATTTTTAAGTTGCAAATGCTAAAAGTTTATCTGCTAATATAAGAGATAACACAAGGTTATATAGCAACTAACAACCATATTCTGTTTGGAGCAACACACAGTTAAAAGTTAAAAATTAAAGTGTTTGAGAGTATGCGTGGAAGAAGAAGACTATAGAACGTGCTTGAATGACCTATGAGCTATCGAACGTGCTTGAATGACCTTTAATTGAAACCGCAAATTCGATTCTACGAACTAGATAAATAATACCTGAACTTTAGTGTCATAAGTAGTCATAATGTCACACCCCCAAACCGGAACGGCGGAAACGTTCGGGGGCGGATGACTTCATGTGGTAACGTAACAAATGAATACATAGTAAAGAAAGCAATACAACCATTATATATATAATTGAAAGTTTACACTTGTTTAAAAGTATACATGTTCAAAATCAATTACATAATGATGTCAAAATATGTAATTAAACTGGCGCCGCAGCGTCCCTTCTTCAAAATCCGTTTGTTACCTGTAATTACTGAATCCATGGGACATACAAGTAGTTTTGAAAGAGTAGATCAACATTTAAGCTGGTGAGTTCCATAAGTATTTAATGACAATGTTTGTATGAAATGAAATGTTTTTGTTCTTTGTTTGCATGTTTCTAGAAAATCCTATATTTTCTAATAGTATAATTGTAACCTTCTTTCACGACAAATGCTTGTTTCTAGTAAATGTATGTAAGCATAAAGATTTCAATTTGTCTGAAAAACTCTGTAAATCATTGTGTTTTTAATACCCCGTGTGAGTTTTATAACCATGCTATTGACAAGGAATGCCTATACACAACGTTCTTCAGGCGTTGGAATGTTCTGACATTTGTCACCCCAAAAGGTGGACTGTAGCTAACAGTCAGGGTGCGGGTTGTCAAGCCCGTATAGATCTATACACAAACACCATGCTCCCCCTCCAAGGGATTCTGGTATATAATACAAGACTTGAAATGTGTACTCGAACGTATGTGAAGTTAATGTCTCACAAAACTTAGTATAAAACAGATTTATGTGTGAAAATGTTCGTTAGTCATTGTATATGAAAGTAGCTTATCGTAATAGTATTTCCATGTATGTAAAGTTCGTAGTATTCTCGTGAAACTATACCTATTATACTTTCCTAAAAGTGTGTTTCATTTGTTAAATAAACCCTTAGTGAAAATGTTCACTTGTTATGAAAAGTGTAGTTTTTGTAGTGCCAAAACCGACACACCGAATGTAATATAAGCAAAGTATTTGATTTATATAAATACCTAAATCGTTTCTCTTTTCAAAAGATAAAATGTTGTCGTGTTATACTTTGCATATAAAAGATTTCCTTTGATAGTTTCAAATCACATATGATTCCTTTGATAAAATGCGTAAAGTGAAAGTTTATATAACACTCGATAATAACCAAGTGTTTTACTTGTATTCCCCCCCCCCCCCTTAAAAGCATGTAAAAGTACTCATAAAACATTGAAAAATGTGAATTATAGGGGTATGAACTCACTTGTAAGATCGGAGGTTGCGAGATGAAAAACCGGACAGAGTTTCGGCTTGCGAAAGTGGATTTCCTCGGGATTCTCGGGAACCTCGGGGGCACGAACGACCTTCGAGACTCGAGCAAAGTGATTGGGCTTCGGGGTAGTGCGGGAATGGAAATCGAGGCAATATCATGAGAGAAATGAGAGAGATGGGGTGTTTTTCCTGGAACCCTCGCACCTCTATTTATAGGGGTCTGAGAAGCCTTGGTACGTGGGGCGTACTCGTGCATCACGCGTGACCGAGTCCTTGACTGCTTCGCTTCGGATGGGACGAGTCAGATAGCTCGCATAGGGGCGACGTGGTCGAACCGACACCAAGGCCTTCGCGTACGCGGGGCGTACGGGGTTACGCGACGCGTAACTCGGATGAGTACGCTGACTCCCCCTTCGGATAATACCGGATTTTTGATTTAAATAAATATATAATTTATTTAATAAACTTTAAAAATTCATATCTTGTTCATACGAACTCCGTTTTCGACGTTCTTTATATCCCCGCGAAGGTGAGACCGTACTCTACAACTTTCGTTTAGATTCCGTCGGCAAATTCCGAAATTATTTTTATTATTTATTTTTAAAAGGTCGTGGTAAGAAAATTTCTTTAAAAATTCATAACTCCTTTATCTAACGTCGATTTTTGCCAGACTTTTTACCGCTGAAATACCATTGATGAGACCTTCGATTCTCATTTAGGTCATTCCGGCCAAAAGTCGCTCGATCTCTGATTCAAGTTTTTAGTCGTCTGCCGTTAATCCAAACTTGAAAAATTCCTAACTTTCTTATACGAAGTCAGATTCGAGCGTTCTTTTTACATACGATCATGGTTTAATGACATCTATCATAAAAGGTAATTTAATTAGTGATTTTTGGATATTTTATTTTCGTAGTAAATTTTATTACAATTAATGTGGTTACAATACTTGACTTTTTAGGTCGTTTACATGTAGTTGAAATATCGGGTTGTCACATCATCCCCCCGTTAGAGGGAATTTCGTCCTGAAATTTAAAGCAAGAAAGATACAAGTGAATCAGAGAAAAAGATGCGGGTACTTTTGTTTCATCTGATCCTCGCGTTCCCATGTGAATTCAAGTCCCTGCTTGGCGTTCCAGCGGACTTTCACAATAGGTATGCGATTTTGTTTTGTTTGTTTGACCTCTCGATCCATGATTTCTACCGGTTCTTCCACGAAGTTGAGGCTCTCGTTGATCTCGATCTCGTCGAATGGGATAACAAGAGTCTCATCGGACAGACACTTTTTCAAATTTGATACATGGAAGGTTGGGTGTATGTTACTAAGTTCACGTGGTAGATTAAGTTTGTAAGCTACAGGGCCGATTCTGGCGAGAATCTCGAAAGGCCCTATGTACCTTGGGTTTAGCTTTCCACGCTTTCCAAAGCGTATCAAGCCTTTCCATGGCGAGACTTTCAATTGAACACAGTCTCCTACTTGGAATTCCAAAGGTTTTCTGCGTTGATCAGCATAGCTTTTCTGTCAGTCTCTAGATGCTTTCAACCGTTCACGAATCTGAAGGATCTTCTCTGTTGTTTCTCGTATGATTTCCGGACCAGTGAGAGTGCTTTCATTATCTCGTCCTTTAGCTAATTGTGTGTTGCCAACTTCGGTCTAGCACAAAGGGGATCTGCACTTGCGGCCATAGATGGCTTCGAATGGAGCAACCTTTCTGCTCGTATGATAACTATTGTTGTATGAGAACTCGACAAGAGGTAAGTGGATATCCCATGCCTTTCCAAAGTCAATCACACAGGCTCTCAGCATATCCTCCAAAGTTTGTATCGTTCTCTCACTTTACCTGTCTGTTTGTGGATGGTAGGCTGTACTCATGTCCAATCTAGTCCCTAGGGAACTTTGTAGTGACTGCCAGGACCTTGATGTAAATCTACTATCTCTATCGGAGATAATGGACATCGGAACCCCATGCAATCGTACTATTTCCCTTATGTAAGTTCTTGTAAGCCTTTCCATCTTGTCAGTCTCCTTGATTGGCAGAAAATGTGCGGATTTGGTTAATCTGTCGACGATGACCCATATGGTATCAAGTCCACCTGTTGTCTTGGGTAACTTGGTTATGAAATCCATAGTGATCCGTTCCCATTTCCATTCCGGTATTTCTAGTTGTTGTAGTAATCCTGAAGGTTTCTTGTATTCGACCTTAATCTTAGCGCAAGTAAGACATTTACTTACAAAGGTAGCAATCTCTGCTTTCATGTTAGGCCACAAGTACAGTTTCTTAAGATCCAAATACATTTTATCTGAACCTGGGTGAACGGAATACCTCGTATTGTGTGCTTCAGTCATGACCACATCCCTGAAACCACCATGTCTTGGGGTCCAGATGCGGTCCATGAGATAATAGGCTCCGCCACCCTTGACTTCTAGATTCTTTTCCATTCCTCTCAAGGATTCACCCGTCACATGCTCGGGTTGTAAAGCTTCCAGTTGAGCCTCTTTAATTTGTGTGGATAAGTGGGAATGGATGGTCATATTCAGAGATTTGACTCTCCGACCAATGTATTCTTTTCGACTGAGGGCGTCAGCTACTACATTGGCCTTGCCAGGATGATAACGAATCTCGCATTCATAATCATTGAGGAACTCGACACATCGTCGTTGTCGCATGTTAAGCTCCTTCTGATCGAAAATATATTGAAGGCTCTTGTGGTCGGTGTAAATAGTACTCTTTGTTCCGTACAGGTAGTGTCTCCAGATCTTCAAAGCAAATACCACTGCTCCCAACTCTAGATCGTGTGTCGTATAGTTTACTTCGTGGGTTTTAAGCTGACGGGAGGCATAAGCAATAACCTTCCCTCGTTGCATAAGAACACAACCAAGTCCTTGATTCGATGCATCGCAATACACCACAAAATCCTCTATCCCTTCGGGGAGGGATAGTACTGGTGCGGTGCATAAGGCTTGCTTCAGAGTTTGGAACGCCTTTTCTTGTTTTGTTTCCCAGTCAAAGACCACGCCTTTCTAGGTTAACGTAGTAAGAGGTTTCGCGATGCTAGAGAAGTTCTTTATTAATCGGCGATAGTAACCAGCTAGACCTAGAAATTGACGAATCTCAGTGGGTGTCTTTGGTGCCGACCAGTTCTCAATGGCCTTAATTTTGGAGGAGTCCATGTGTATCCCTTTTTCGCTAACAACGTGGCCCAAGAATTCGACTCTTCGAATCCAAAATTCACATTTAGAGAACTTCGCATAGACCTTCTCTGATCGTAGTGTTTCTAAGACCTTCCGTAGGTGTTGACTATGTTCTTCCTTACTTCGGGAGTAGATAAGTATATCATCGAAGAATAC